AACAACACGTCCAATTGTCTTCAATTGGACGTGTATAATACACATGCATAGTGTTGCATTGCATCAGTTCGACAAAAAAAATTACATGGCATTTACACCATTTTACAATCAGACAAAGTATGCAAGATCGCCTGCCGTGGGCGCCGATCTATGATGACTTGGGAATTGGGATTCAGATTGGGTGACATAGGGTGGGCATGTCACCAGGTGACACAGGGTGAATCTCGGTCCTCCAAAACAAATCCAATGGCTGAGATTCATCCACGACATCACGAGTTAAACTTTAACTCGCAGATTTACTCAGGAGTTAAAATTTTACTGGGAGTAAACTTTCAGGAGTTAAAATTTTAATGGAGTTAAATTTTAACCCGTGATGACATGAATGAATCTTGGCCGTTGGATTTGTTTTGTAGAGCCGAGATCTATCCTATATCGCATTGTGACATGCCTACCTTATGTCACCCAATTTGAATCTGATGGCTTGTTTCTCGGTAGTGAGGGAAACGACCGGAGCAGATCGATGGAGGCTCGGACGATATAGTAGTTATATATATATATATATATATATATATATATATATATATGACACCTTAAGGTGCTACCTATTAAACAACACCTGACACAATGATCAGACCCACTAACTGTGCGCACACCCCACCCCCATCCTGAACCCACCCACGTTGACCTAATAGTTAATTTTTGACTACTGCACGTCCGCCTGATTGCCAACTATATGTGCTGACAGTTTTCAATAGTAATTTGTTAACTATTCATATGGAGTAATTATTTAACTCTATTTAACATTTTTAGTTCAACTAGAGTTTTTTTTTTCAATACGTGTCAGACGACATCTTTTTTTACTCTACATGGTGTTAGCTTACTAGTTATGTTTTAATTCAAGTTAGCATAACCATCCGCTCACTATTACGTGCCACAGATTTTATAATTTTATTTGTTTGTTTATGTCATAAAAATACTTTTTCTTATTATATTTTGTTCTCACTATCCAGAGTAATTTTATCACTATCGCAAACCACCACGTAGTCCTGCCAAGGCAGCGTCATCCCACATCCATGATAGTAAATTTTTTACCTACCAATATACTGAATATATAACCCTATTGGCACCCTAATCCAACCTGTTCCCATTCACTCTCCAATCTCCATCCTTTTTTTCCGGATCTGGGGGCAGTCGGCAGCATCATCGGCCACCGGGGCGACAACCTCTCCCTACACCAGCGACGTGGTTTGCTCCAAGGGAGTGAGCCTAGGTGGCAGCTCGTGGACAGAGACGGCGCACTGCTGGATCTGACTCCTCTCCTGTGTTGCGACGGGCGAGGACGGCATCAACAGAATCAGGGGCATAGAGGAAGCCTGTCCTGGTCGTCGGCGTCACCTTCCGCCGACGCAGCCGTGCGCGGTAGTCGGCGAGCACATCCGCGCGTTGCCCCTGATTTTGTTGTGTAATTTTTGCACGCCGTTTGTGGTCGTCGTCCACCTTCAGTGAATCCTGATGGATACTGCTGCGTGCCTTTTTTAAGCTGTAAAATGAATCTTCGTCCTTTTTATAGATGTGTAATTTTTTTCCTCACATTATAGATGTGTAATTTTTTGCCTCACATAATGACGCGGCACGGTACGGCTGCGGGCGCGGTGGTGACGGGCGACTATGGGCGGGAGAGACGCGGCAGTTCCGCCTCCACCGCCGAGTGGCGGCGTGCGCGGCGTCAGCGGATCCGGCACAGCATGGCTGCGGGCACGGCGGTGATGGGCGATTGCAGGCGGGAGGCGAGGAGGCAGCACGCCGGCACATCCGGTCGCCGCTCCTCGCCCCACGCGCGCGGATCCGGCTGCGGTGGGGCATATCCTGCACAAATGCAGGCGGCGTGGCAGCGGATCCAGTGTGGATCCTGCACTGGTGACGGCGGGCGCGGCTGTGACGGGCGACTACGAGCGGTAGGCAAGGCGGCAGCGGATCCGGCCGCTGCTCCGCGCCCACGCGCATGGCATGACCTCCGTGGCGGCCACCTCCACAACGCGTCGCCGTCGATGTCCGGAGCAAGCGCGAACGAAAAATTAACTTATACTTATAGATTGTGTGGATGTATATGGAGTAAAAATTTTGTTGTCATACCAAGTTAATTTATTACTCAGTAAGGATACCAAGTTAATTTTTTACATAGTCTCCCCATGTTTTTAAGCTTATTAAGCTGCATCCCATGTAAAAAAACAAGGTTTCTAATGAATATGTAAAAACTTATACGTATTGGGATGCATTTTTTTATAACAACAAATTACAAAAAAAATGCAAACAATCATCTCTGTTAACAAGTATGCAAAAGCTAACTCACCCAAAAAATGACTTGTTTGTGGGAGACGGGTATTGTAAAAAAAAAACTGAATTTGATCATCAAATATTATAATTTCAAAAACTAATAGTAAACTTTTAACTCCCAAACCATGTCAGTGTAACCCACAACCAAACTGTATACGGGAGTAAAAATTTTACTGACTTTGGAGAAATTTATTGAGCACCTAATATATAGGGAGTGAAAATTTTACTGAAGCATAATTTTGCTGGGAGTTAATTTAGCCCATGGTGCCACGTGTAGATTAGAAAGATGAATCTCTCGTGCTAGAGCGAACAGGGTAAAAAAAGCAATAGAAACGGAAACAACGCTCGATGAGTAATATTTTGACCGAGATGACCGGTGAGGGAGCGAAGGTGAACAGATAAACCGGACGCGGGGACTACCGTGAGTCGCTCTACGAAGCTTCCTGGCGCGCTGCATCTGTTAGTGGCGTCCTATTTGAACCTGTGAGAGAGGATACGGTGGGGTGCGGAGATGCTGGTGGGAGCCGCGAGTTAAAAATTTACTACGTTCGGGTGAGGGTCGAAAAGATGATCTGTGGAGTGCCATATAGCTACGTAGCACTTAAGGTACCATATAGTAGTTCTATATATATATAGGTAGGTAAATTAATTGGTGCTACATAGAGTATGAGTATCCATATCTATATATATGTGTATGTATGTATGTATATGTATATGTGTATATATATATACATACATATACTATATATATGTACATAAATGTATGTATGTATGTATGTATGTTTAAACTTAGGATTGAGATTATTTTTTTTTAGACAGAGGAGTAAGAGAAGGGGCGGATCCTTAATTTTGAATGTGAAAAGGGTCCGTGGACTGGAAGCTGCAGTAGTAGTATGGACTGTAACTTAGGCTGTGTTTAGATGCAGGGGAGTAAAGTTTTACAGTGTTACATCGTGTATGTCGGCACACATTTGAAGTATTACATGTAGACTAATAAAAAAACTAATTACAAAATCCATCAGTAAACCGCGAGACGAATTTATTAAGCCTAATTAATCCGTTATTAGCACATGTTTACTGTAGTACCACATTGTCAAATCATGTAGCAATTAGGCTTAAAAGATTCGTCTCGCAAATTAGTCGCAATCTATGCTATTAGTTATTTTTTTAGCCTATATTTAATACTCCGTGCATGTGTTCAAACGTGTATGTGACATGGATGTAAATTTTGCCAGGGGATCTAGGGCCTGTTTAGGGAGCTTCTAACTGCTGCAGCTTCTCCTAGAATCAGAAGCTCCCTAGACAGTCCAGCTTTTGGTCCAGATTCTGGCAAGCCAAAAGTTGTAGTTGTAGAATACAGAAAATAAACTAGAAACCAGAAGATGAGAAACCCAGCTTTTCCAGATTCCCAGAAGCTGGCTATCAACCAGCTGCTTCTCATAATCTTAGAGCTTATTTGGTACAGCTCCAACTCCTAAATTTAGCTCTAGGAGTTGGGTCTGGAGTAAAGTTGTGGAACTGCCTAAACCCAGCTCCACAACTCTAGTTCATTTTGTGAGAGAGCTCCACTCCCAGTTTTGGTGGAGCTGAAATTGTTTGGCTGAGCTCTAGCTCCAGGAGAGGTGGAGCTGGAGCTGTACCAAACAGACCCTTAAGCTCCCTAAACAGACTCTTAATTTCCTAAACATGCCCTTATCCTATATACTTATATAGTTCATCCCCACTAAGTGTAGTTAATACTATGTCTCTCTTCTCTCATTAAGCCACATCACCCCAATTATTTATCCATTGGATGATAGTTCTATGGTTGAAATTGTCATTTTTTTCTTCTCTTTTAACACTAAGTAATCTCAATCATTTTTAGGACTCAAAATTCATAATATCAATTTGTTTTAGTTTTAATATTCATATTTCATCTTATTTATACATACTATCTAACTTAATTTTTCGCAGCAACGCGGCGGTTATTCGTCTAGTTAAGACGTTGTAGCTGCTACATTGGATCTAAATCCAAATTGTAGCAAAAGTACTACACGACAGGTGTGAATAGGGATGGCAATCGGGCGCGACGGGCACAGGTAATTTCTACCCATACCCGTGCCCATGAGATTATTTGTGCCCATGGGTATGCCTGTTACTACATGACGGGCAAGGATTGTTGCCCATGCCCATCGCCCACGGACGCCTTGTGCCCGCGGGCGTGCCCGTTTACCCGCCACAACAAAAGCAGTGGAAAAAAGTCTACAAACTTTTAACATCAAATATTCTCCGTCTCGGTGTGGTGTCTCTCCTCTAGCGGCGATAGAGGAAGGGGGAGAGAAATAATAAGGGAAATAAAAGGAAACCGTAGAAAACAAAGAACGCGGCTTATGTATTCTAGTGGATTTTGCTCCTAGCCTACATGTAAGTTAGATTTCACGGGTAAATAGGCAAAGCGGGCATGGGTAGTGATTACCCATACCCATACCCATTTACCCATCGGGCATAGGTTTTGACCCAATAAAAAACCCATGGGTATAAAATGGAGAACAAACCCAACCCAACCCTAATAGGGTTTTTACCCACGGGTAAACGGGCAAATTGGCATAATTGCCATCCCTAGGTGTGAACAGTGTAGAAATTGATCTGGACCATTGATCGTAAGAATGAACGGCTGAACCAGATCTCAATCCGACCAGGGACGGGGCCTCCTCGCATTTCCCCTCTTCTGCTGCAGAGGAGGTGGAGGGGAAAAGAAAAGGAAAAATCCGCCGGCGGCGGCGGCGGCCTCCGCCTCCGCCTTGAAGACCTGACCAGCCGCCGGCCAGCATCTCCATCCGCCCTGCCCTGCGGCTTACACCGGTGAGACACTATGACTATGATCTTCTCTTCCAGATCCAACTACCTTGTGCTTTGTACTTGTATAGTATAGATGCGTTCCTAGCACACGTGACATGCCAACAGGTGGCCTTTTTTGTTCTTCTTTCCTTGGGGCTTTGTGCAACAATGTCAATGTAGATTCGATTTGTACTCATGAGGATGATGATCTGGTGGAGAAATCTCGGGCGTATCGATCGGTTTCTCTCCACGCGGAGAAATCGTGAAACATTCACGTGCCGTGTGGTCTAAATCTTGTCATTTCGCTTGGATCCCAATGCTGTTACGCCGTTGTCTTGTTCTCCTGATGATCTTGTGTGCCTTGTGTCGGTTTATCTCTTCTCTACTATTATAAAAAGTAAAGATGTTTTTGCCATACACTTCTCTTAACTTGCAGAAACTCCTTTTCATTTGGTTTGCATTCGAGTTCTTCCTTTTTCCTGGCCCCTTGTACTAGTTGGGATACTTTGCAATCAGGTTGTCATTAAGATACCAGTCAGTATTCCTTTATAAATTTCATGTTTTGTATCCAACTCCGTTTACTCACATTATCGTCAAGACTGCCTGTACCTCTTCACATAGAATAAAACGTTTTGTTGCAACTTCTTAAAGAAAATAGTTTTTGTTGTCAGCTGATTGAGAGATCCCATTGCTGACCTGCAGAAAAAAAAACCATGTGGTGACTCAATGGGTGATTATAGTCTATAGATCCTAAACCAGGATCTATAATGAGACCACCTCTATCCTGTGCTGGTTAGAATTAATGTTTGTAGTGCATATACATTTAATGGTCACTTCGTATGACCTTGGATGCTTTTTACCCTTTTGTAGTGCATTAGCTTGTACTAGTCACCGACCCATTCATCCACACGAGCAATCTGTCTTAATGAGATAGTATGCACGTGCGAAAACAGCTTTTGTAACCAACTCAGACTCATATTGCAGACCCTAGATACTTCCATAGAATTTGAATATAACCCAACATGTTAATCTGGGACATCTGTGCAATATAAAATTTAATCATTCACTTCTCAAAAATACTAGTTATGGTTTGCACTTCTTGTTTCAATTTGGCTTCTCAATTATGCCGCTGCTAGGAATTGACATAGCAACTGCATAACATTTGATTTATTCAAAAAAAAAAAACTGCATAACATTTGATAGATGTACACATTGAAGTACAAGCAGGGAAATCTTGTAGTAGCATATTATAATTCCATGATATTAACCCAGGATATCAGGTGTTTATGGTTTGTTTCTTTTCTAGCTTTATAGTATGTATGTGTCCAAGCTATGATATTCATACAAATTGCTTCATAAATAAATGTGTTATGTTGGAATGGCATTTTTTTCCAGATTTCTATACCACAGAAGATTGCTACGCCAGCTTCCAGAATAACCATCATGGGTGAACCATTAAGAACTCTTCAAAATGGTATTTTATTTGTACTTTTGCTACTTATACAGTTGTACTGAGCCATGGGGTAATAAGTTAAGATAATCCTTTTTTAACTCTTAGATAGTCTTAGAGAAATAGGATGTGCATAATTAAGACTGAATCAATTAATCTTATCTCTAATTCAGCATTTTATTTTATTTTTACTTCAGATCAATCAGAAGCTAAGGATAAGGGGAACAAGGTACAAATATTCTATTATGTATATGTCGCCTTATTCATTTATTGGAACCAGTCAATTTTCTGTGGATTTCAATGGTCTGCATGGTTAGTTAAGTCAAACCTCTGTATCTGAAATCTGAATAGTCTGTGGCCTTCACACACTTGCCAGTGTTCAAAGGCATGAAATGAAACACCTATCATGGTCAAACATAGAAACAGCCGGTTGCTAGACATCTTGGGTGCATTTGCAATCCTATTTTAAAATGTTGATACCTTTTTATGCTGAACCTCTTCACCCCACAAAATTTTGCAATTTGCAGATAGATATTAAGTACGAGCTGACTTCTGCAATACTGAGTCTAAAGCATCAACAAGCATCTGGCAGGTTGAAGATGCCTTCAAGACTGCCAGCAAGATATCCCCATAATGTGGGACATTGTGCAGAGCTTATCATGAATTTGGGCATTGGAGAAGATGTTCATTGCTTAAATGTAATGAGATCGTGTAACCATGAGAACATATTACATCCTGGAATTATTAAGGAAGTTATCATTGGTGACAGCTCCTTTAATGTGGCCTGGATGGAGCGTTACACTCGTGTGTTATCAGAATATGTGCAATTGCTCCTGTCAACAGCTCGGTTTCATGCCCCCGTTGGTGCAACTCTCTTACTTCCGTCACCCCATCTCCAGATGGTTTTGAGGTCTGTTTTGTTGGCACTAAGTTGAGTGAAGTTAAAATTTTGAGAGTAGTGCTTCCGTGAATGATTTTGTAATGTTGTTTCAGAGGAATATTTGACGGGATGGAACAGCTGTTTCTCAACGGGTATTATCATGGGAACTTTTCTCTAGAGAACACATATTGTTTCCTTGAATGTTCTACTCCAGTCGTGAAGCTCACAAATTTTAGAAAGAAAGGTAATATACAATTAACTTCATTCATATTTTCATACTTCTTTGTCAGTTGTTTCTCACTGGATGCCTTTTAATACTATCATGGGGTGAAGAAATTTCCTGATTTTTTTGACAGGAAACAGCAGAGAGCTATTAACACAAACATTTTTTCTTGGAAAATTATCAAGTAAATTGCTTCATTTATTCATTTCCTAGTTCATATTAGTGGCTCTAAAATATAAGTATGTATATCTAACTCCCTTGCTATGACCATCTCAGGTAAGGCACTTTTATCTACAGAATGCACATGTGTGTCTGTGCTTTGCTTGGGGTGGGGGGGGGGGGGGTGGGGGAGGTCTGTTTCCCTTAGTTGTTGCAAGCTAACTGCCGTTTGTACCGAACTACTGACATGACTGGTTTCTAATCACTATATCAATGTTGCTTGTTTTCTGTATTTTTCTGATCTCCATGGAATTGAAATATTAGGAGTACTAGTTTGTTTAGAGCAAGTGCATTTAGAGGAGGGTGAGGGTATAGCTGCCAAGTTTGCTTGCCATGTGATTGGAATTACCTTTATCTGTCGAAAGGTCTGGTGGGGATGCATGTTGTTACCTGGCATTATATCCTTGACGGAATTGATAGTGTCTGTTGGGCATAATGGGCGAAACCAGAACGATATTTACTTTTGAAAATTAACTTCAGGCCCTAGTGTTCTTTACAAAAATAATAATGAAATAAATCGATGTTCCTTTTGCAGTTCCAGAGCAAGCTATGACCTGGGGTGTGGAGGAGGTGCGGAGTGATCGATATTTGTCCATAAGCTGCATTGAGTGCGAAATTTGTTCTTTTGTTGCATGTTCTTTGGACCAGGTTGTTGGGTCTTCTCTCTTTTGTGTTTGAGTTATATAAAAGCCGATAGCTTTACGATGGTGGTGTACAAAATTCTGTGTCGGGCACATTTAATAGTATTTAGGAGACCGTGGCACAAATGCCTTTGGCAACTCTGCGTTGTAAGGTAGATAGGTGTAGATATAAAATACATTCTCACCAAATTTTAAATCCAAGCTTAACTTCGTTTGTTGCCTAATCTTAATAGAGACTAATGGGAATGCAAAAGTACTGTCTTTAATGGGCTGATTTTCAATGGCCAATGAGTAATGATTTTTCAATTAAATAAGTCCATTACTATCGCGATGAACTGGCCGCGCCCTGCAGGTGATGCTGCCCCCCAAAAACATACGCGAATATTAAGGAGCGACCTAATACCAAATAAAAGGGTGAAGCTTCAAATCTAGATTATATTGTATAGTCCACCACCTTGTGTAGCTAGCCGAAAACCCCCTAGATTTTTCTCGTGATGCTGCCCCCTGTTCTCCCTCCGGCCTCCATGAAATGGACAGAGAGCTGGCCGCCGCCCAGGCCACTTATGGGGCGATGACGGTGAGCGTCGACAGTAGGAGGCGGCGGCGCTACGCTCTTAATCCGCTTAGGAACAAGTTCACTATGACTCCCTTAAGTAGTGATCGAATTTGATTCGTATCCTTGAATCACAATATCGGATATTTCAACCTCCCAACTATTTAAATTGGTGCAATTTGACTCCCTCAGCGGTTTTGGAGGACGATTTCACTGACATGGCACATACATGACGGTGTTGACTCGGTCTTCGTTCCACGTGGAGTTGATGTGGCACTTATGTGTATTAGAATTAAAAAAATATGAGTGGGACCCATTTGTCATTCACACACAAAAAAAAATAAGGGCCCCGAGATCAAAAAAAATAATAATAATGAGGGCCCCATGTTAGTCCTCTTTCCTCCATTCTTCCTCCTGACCTCCCTCTCTATCCCTCATATTTGAAAAATATTTGAGGGAACCAAAATAGACTTACTTCAGCCTTATAAGGCCCTGTCCAAAAAGAGAGGAGGGAGATAGAATAGCCATATTTCAGCTTTATAAGACACAACCCAAATAGATAAGGGAGGTCAAATAAACTTATTCTATAAAGAAGCAAATATATATTGTCACGCCTTCGTCCGGCCCGAGTTTTTTTGGGCTGTGCCTAGGCTGTGGGTAGGTATGACCCGGCCCGGCGTGTAGGTCGAGCCATGCCGGCCCGACTGACCTAGGCCGTGTCGGGCCAGGAGGCCCATTTGGACATCTATGATCTGAACAGGTCCTCACAGCTTTATTTATGCCTTCGTCAACTGTTACCTCGACTCAGATATATGGCGCGGCACAGCCACACACAGTGCGGCGGCGGCGGCGGCGTCGTCTTCGGCGCCGTCGGCTAGCTCGGCCAACCGCACCACCCTGCCGTATGGGGCGGTCCGCCTCAGGAAGGCTTCAGCCAACGCGCCGCCGTTGTGTTTCTGTGTGTGTGTTTTTTCCTATTTTGATTCGTTTATTTTCGCTTCTCTGGTGTCTAGCTTCTCTTGGAATTATACAAGCCTCATGAAGATCTGGGAGCTTAATTAGATCTTCCACTCTTTGATTTTTCACTACTTTAGATATCGCCATGAACAATGGAATGCAACTAGATGATATGCTGCCCAACAAGAAAATTACACATCTAGCATAGCATAAGATTGGATTCGTTGGAATGGTATTTTGACGAAAATATTTTAGTTTTGAGTGATATTCTAATGAAACCCATTTAATTGATGTTTTTCCAGCGAATCCAACCTTATGCAATGGTAGATATACAATTTTCTCGGGAAATACATATGGCTAAAGAGAGTTCATCCAATCGCACTTCTTAGATAGAGTTCACTGCTAATTGCAACAGTCGGTTGCCCACGGCAAACAAAACTACTCCAACAGTATTGTGTTTAAAACTACTTAAATACTGTTCGTGTTCAACAGTATAAAACTGCCGAACAAAAAGAAAAGTAATAGTGGTGTCCACTGTGTCTCCATCAGCATTGCGTTTTCTTAAATTGCTGCAACTCAGAAAACCTTGATCGAAATCTGTCCCTCACACTGTCAAAAGCTGCTGCTACTCCGAAAACCTTGATATTTCTTTCATTTGGCACTGACACGATCAAAACCTGTTGCTGCTGCAACTCAGAAATATACAGAACCAAACTGAGAAAAGGGAGTTACATACAAACCACTATCACAGGTATGGCTAATAAGAAAGAGAAAATGGATAAAAGAATTATGGTTTTGTTGTAGCCTCAACTAATCCGGGTCTACGCATCGTCCACCCCGAGAAGACAACAAGTCTTTTTACCCGCCCCTTACTACCCGTGTAAAAGGAGACGATATATCATGAGAAGAGGGAATACCTTACTTCGGAGGCCACCCAATGGCCTCATACAGGTTACACCAAATCCTCGGTGTCCACTTCTCCATCTTTCGAAGGAAGAAAGCGTAATCATCATTCTTCTCCTGCATTTGAAGTGTTATAAGGTACATGCTCGCATCCATTCATAATCATTCCAGTATTGTAGATGGTTTTATTTGTCTATTTGAACTTACCCGTAGATTAGAGGGCAGAGAGAGCCAATGTTTGACCAGGTTTCTGCACAATCGCAGGTAGTCATAAGGATCCAAAATGTTGTACTTTATGTCCAATCTGGTCACTTGATCAGTTATCAAGTTGTTGAGGAAGTCACTGTAGTCAGGCCATGTAAAACCAATGAGTTGCAGCTTGGATCTGACATATTTAGAATCAGACGCCACAAGTGCCTTCAAGTAACAGGCCTTTTTGTCATCATTCCATTCATCCGGGTAATCCTCTAACCACTTGACATTCCCAGCACCAATATATTTCAAAAACCTATCACAGTCAGGATGGATCTGCTTTTTAAGCCCAGCAAGTTCTACACATTTGTCTGCAACCCCTTTTACATCTTTCCACAGTTTGATCCTCTGTGCATTCTGATTACTAGCAGTAGTATTTCTTGATGTTGCCAATTGAGCTGCATACATGTTATGAAACAAATTAGTACAACAATGTTTATAAAAGTTACGAAGTACAGTAGATCACTGCATAGAAAATTCACATGTACAAGAAGGCTGAGGCACACACCTTCATAAACAAGCAGTTTAACTGTGGTAATTCCACCCTTCACTCGAACATATACATCTTCAATTCGAATCTCGCTAGGGTAAATGTTGTGTTGTAGAAGACAATCCAGAGCCTTGCTGATTCCACTACAACAATGGTTCAAATTAATAGTTAACATCAAATGACTAGAGTAACTATCTTGTCCATGTTAATGGCAATAAATTCAGTGTAACATATCTCAGGTACATGCAGTGGCAGTAAACAGAATGGGATTAAGTGCCAAACAAAAAAAAAGATGGTAATCAACTTACATAATGATTTGGCGGAATGTTGTTGAAGGGCGACTGCTGATATGTGAAGACTCAATGATTCCCTGTTGTCCTTTTTTGGACTTAATCCATGCAAAGAAGGGTCCCATCAACCCATGAGATGACAAATCTGGCCTCACCAGCTTCATCATAAAAATTTTGTATCGAGACGATGTTTGGATGCCTAATGTTCTTGAGAATAGCATAATCTTTAAGCATTAATGGTTTCTCTGCAGTGCCATTCTTCACCAAGCACTTTATGGTGCTTGGACCCATTATATAGGTGGCTTCATGCAGCTTGGTTGGGTTCCCGTCAAGATCCAGATGAAGTTTTCTCTGATCAATAACAAAGCATTCCCCACGAGTGCTATCCTTTGCATAAAACACAGACTTGTGTACCTCGAATGACATTGCTTATAAGCCTAAGAAGACAGTTAACTGTAAAAATCTGTCAGTATATAGTACTACTCAGGTCAGGTAGGCAAGGCTGTTAAAAATAAACTTGAAGCCATCCACAGAATAGGTTGAAATTGCCTGAACATCACTTGAATGTGTAATAAAGTAATAGCACTACTAGTATCTTGCCAGTATTGCGAAAGCAGTAGTAATCAGGTTTGCAAAACCGCCGGTAACCGGTTACTGGGCTTACCAATGGGGTTCAGTAGCCCTTTACCGGCGGTATGGATTACCAAATTTTGAGCAAATTCAAAAATTTTAAAAAAATCGAAAAAATAAAAAAAATCCATGGATGTAGTGCTTGATTTGTAGTGTATTATGGTGAAGAAATTTCTTGAAAAAGAGTAAGATAAATTCAAATTCGAGGGTAATACCAAAAGTCAATTAGGAAATAGGAAAAAGAAATAATGAAATGGGCCTAAGCTTCACTGGTCATGTGGCCCATTAAGGCCCATATGTAGAGAAAATATCTCATAGTACTCTCATCTCTCTCTATCGCGCGCGCTCTCTCTCTCCCTGCTTGAGGCACAGCGGCGCAGGGTTCCTTCATTTTTTTTTTGCATTTTTTTCATTTTGTTCTTCTTTCGGCCAAACATCTCACGGTTACCGCGCAAATACCGCAGTAACCGCCCCAAACTGCGCCCAAAACTGCGGTATCACGGTTGTTTTGAATTCAAATTTTTGAAACTGAAATTTGTGTGGTTTTTGGCGGTTACCGCGGGGGTCCGGTAACCACGCCGAAAACGGTAAGGGGAACCCATAAATAAAAGCTTGAATTGGACAATGACCGCTAGTAGATGAATATGCTCAAGCTAATTTTGGCAGGAGGAGGTGGCATAAGAACATGAGCAGAGCATATCCATTGCAGAGGCATGATATAGGGGTGGACGATTAAACTAGTAATCAGACATGGTATAAGCATATAATATATTAATCCACATGCATGGTCGGGTACTCATCAGGTATATAAGCAATCCTCATGCATGGTCAGGTCATGGCGAGTTTGGGGGAGATTGGATGAAGCTATGCAGGGAGAAGAGTTTCACAAGCACACGTGCCCAAAATAATAAAGTTTGCAAGCGGATACAGTAGATGAAAAGACTGCGCTTTTGTGCTTATATACTTGATAATTTAACCAGGAACACAAGAGAAAGCGGTTGACTTGGGTCACATATCATGGCATACATTTGGCAATCGAGCTTGTTGTTTTAATACTATAGTATCGATCGAAAGGTAGAAAACCAACCCCAGCTGATTCGATTCGGCAGACAAATTAGAAGGAACGCTACCGGGATGAACCAATATCGGAACCCAAACGGGATCAACCAAATCGGAACCCCCCCCCCCCCCCCCACACACACACACACACCCCTACCACTACCGAATTCAAGCCCAAATCGGGCAGAGCAGGGGATTCCAACCAAATCTCGCGCAAAATAGGACCAAACAGCAACTGGCCCACCTAAAACAAAACGAACCGATCATCGAGCACCATAAGAGAGCCTTCCTTGTTCGTACGCACATATCATAAATACATCAAAATCACTGCTGCGCTTAGCAGTTAGCACAGGGGATGTTTGCTTGCAAGCAAATAAACCCAAACGCGGGTCAGCTGCATCGAGGATGGGAAGGAAAGGAGGTAGGTGGTTACCAGCTAGTAGCCGCACAGGAGCATACGGTGACTAGGGAGGGAGGGAGGGGCTGCCGCAAGAACGTCGCCGCGGAAGGGAAGGCCGGCGCCGGCGAGGGCGAGTTGGTGGGGTTTTGCAGGCAACACAAACCCTCGCCTCAACCCAGCTGCCTCTCACGGGCACGCGTTATATGCAATCCAAAGCTCCCTCTCTAGTCTCTACTTTGCAGTTTTGGTTTCTGAAAAAGGAAAAAAATAGATAAATAGTCGGAGTAAGTTTCACCGTGTTTTATTATCAATATTTTACTTTAGACCACCATTTAACCTACGTCATTTTAATTTCAACCGGGTAGTCAATCTTACTTTTGGACCACTCCAACTCTCGTTTTAAGTGTGTGTATACATACATACATACATACATACATACATACATACATACATACATACATACATACATACATACATACATACATACATACATATATATATATATATATATATATATATATATATATATATATATATAAGATTTCGGTTTGTACTCTTTAATGAAGTCTCACAACTATATTTTTATTGTTGCTCTGATATATAATAAGTTGATGGAGATGTATAAAATAGTTGAGGGTGATCCGAAATATCACAAAGGTAAATTTATTGGATTCATAATAGAAACATTTGTTAAAGAGTTATCCAAAATGCTACTTCCTCCGGATTCAGATAATGGTGAGGTTAAACTTTATAATTTTTTATTATGAATCATTTTTAAAATATTTCTCTTTGAAATAATTAGTCTTAAAAGCACTCTAATAATTTCTAAAAAAAGTACTTTAATAAAATCATATATTTGTTAACACTTTTATATATATTATAATAAAAAATAATGATTAAAGTTTTTTTGAGACCGTATTTTTGTCCAAAGAGACAAGTATTATCAATTCGAAGAGAGTACAATGGTAACAAAAGTTAAGTGAAATTTACTCTCATAATAATAAAAAATAAAAGAACAAAAAGTTGAGGGTTCCGGGTTTTGGGGGGGATACGGACGATCCAACGGTGGCAAATCATCCAGCTTTCCGCCTGATCACCCCTTCCCCTTCCCGTCCCGTCCGACGGACCCACCCATAATCTGGCCGTTGGTTCCAACGGTGGTGCATTTTGCACATAGATCCTTCTATTATAACATATTACAAAATTAGCCCGCCAATCAATTTATAGTCTGTACATAATATTACAGTAGCATGTACATGATACTAGAAAACTGTTTAATTTTTACACGAGTTATTTTCATTTTCATTAAAAATATTTTCCCAAAAGGACCTTTCAATGAATTTTAAATATATTATTATAATGTTTAAATGGATCAAGGTAGCATACTAATTTATATTTCTGAATGATTTTGTTGGGTTGGGTGTGTTGTTTTCTTAAAACTGTAAAAAATTCATAAAACCCAAAGTTTATTAAATAAATCCTTAGAATTTTTAGTATTAGTGGAAAATACAATGTGAAAAAGATTTCTGAGGCTTAATTGAATCATTTACGTTATTTCTGCCATTTGATTTTTCTATTTTGTTTTTGGAGTAATTTATAGATATTTTTAGTAATAATGATTGTCGACGGGGCATACCCGCGGACCATGTTATGAGGGTATTAGGGTACGTTGGTACGAGAATTTACACGATACGATATCAAACACACAGAAAAAACAAGGATTACACGATACGACAGTGATTTGGACTTCGATTATACATCAAGGTCGTTGATCTGCTCCGAGCTCTCTCCTTGATCGTCTCTACTCCCTCAGTAAAAAAAAAAAAGACAAACCCTGGATTTTCGTGTCCAACGTTTGACTGTCCGTCTTATATGAAATTTTTTTATAATTAGTATTTTCATTGTTGTTAGATGATAAAACATGATTAATACTTTATGCATGACTTATCTTTTTAATTTTTTTCATAATTTTTATAAATAAGACGGACGGTCAAACGTTGGACATGAAAATCCAGGATTTATCTTTTTTTTTTTGACAGAGGGAGTAGCATTTTGTTCACCAACCTCACTGACCTTAATGTATTATTCATGAGCCTTTCCTTGATATGCTTCGACGCCTCAGCCCTCCACGTACATCAACGAAAAGAATTGTCATGGCGTTGGCATCGCCATTGACAAAGATTAAGCTGATCAGAGAGCGAACTCAATTAACACAATTCACGGTGATAGCTGACCTGGCGCTCCCCCTCTCGCTGATATGCTGGTCCTACCTACCAGTGTCTCAGGAAATATTTCCAAAATATCTCTTTATAATAAAGAAAAACTATAGGATAAAAAACAACTTAAACACACTCAATCATGCAGTGGAACCAATGAACTGTCCTCCTTACATACCCCCGTTGTAACGCATGGACATCTTGGCTAGTCTATTTTAGGTTCAAAATTTTAGTACAGTGTCGGAGTAGTATGCGTCAGAGTCCCATCGCCGCCCGCCTCAATGTTGTCTGCCTTAGGGGCTGTTTGGATGCTTGCTTCAGTTTACCAAAGTTCTATAGCTAAGGTGTGGCATGCCACAATTTATGTGGCTAAGAAATTCTTGGCCACAAGTTAGGCAAATGTTGGCAAAGATATGTATCTATGACAAGTGGGGTCACAAAATTAAAAAGTATGGCATGATAAAGATGTGGCAATCAAGCAAACACTAGGCTAAATTGGTCAAAATAGCTTGCCAAAGTTGTGGTAAAGTATAGTCACCATCCAAACAACCCCTTAGGCCCGTCTCAAATTTGCCTCAATGGCCTGTACATGGCCGTCCCAATTTTTTCATTGAAGAAAGCAAAGCATATTCTGTCGATACCACCTATCGTTTTCTTTATTTTTGCATAGATGCTGTTCTTTATAAAAAAAATCGTCAAAATAAATTGCGGGCTTGCTCTTCATTCATGAGTTAGTTAGCTGTAGTTTTTCATTAAAAAAACAAAAGTACATGACCGTGTTTATTAACAAATTCATTTGTTATAATATCAATGGTAGTTTAATGAAAAACTTGCTACATAATATTAATTTGCAAATGTCATTTTGCACATACATCATACTCTGGATGTCGTTTTGACATATATGGTTTCTAAATTTCAATTTAGAGTATTGTTTGCAAATATCAATTAGG